CCACTCTGGGAAGCACCTTAATCTTCAAAGAACTGGTGAATAAGTAAGTTTATCAAAAAAGCTGGCTGAAATCTGACATACAAACACGGTGATTCAATGAGTATTTTTGAGGAAGAGCAGTATTAGATTCGTGAAACACTAAAGCGCAGTACGACCATCAGAGTCCCCTTCCTAGTGATGAGACATGCTACATTAAAATGCAAATCTGGGGTTTTGTGACTCAAGATATCAAGTGAATCACAAAGGCATAGAATTTGACGTCCCGTACGACGTGAGGCATTAACAAAGCAACAGCACACTGGTCAGCAGCTCTACCCTCTCCATAAAAAGCTGTTAGTTTCAAAACATGCAGATTAAAAAGATTTGCCTACATTTACTTGCAGATTGAGTGGAATATCTGCACTAACAAATGGGAATTCTGTGTTGCATTGAGGGTAGAACCAGAAGAACACAGGAGGAGCAGAATGCAGGCAGTTCTGGATGTCAGTTATTGTGTGCTTGCTAAAATCTTTAGGGCAAATCTACAGTCTGTAGGATCTGCTACTTATTTCCTATAAAATATATATACAATATATTATTCAAAGTTAATAAAATATTCTTGAAGCACAACTCCCATGCATTTCCTTTAGAGCTGAAATTAGAATAGATAAAATGAGGCAATGATAAGCTTCAGCTGTTAACTTCCTTGTATATTGACTTACAATCAATATAGAAACTCCCATTCCCAAATAGCCCACATTCAGCATTTAAAAGGAGTCAGAATTTTATCTTACCCATGAAATCTGGTATGTCCTTTAATTCCCAATGCTACCTCTACAAACTATACTCTCTTACACAGTGCCAGTAGTAAAAAAAGGAAAACTAAACACAAGATACCACATATTGATGCAGAGCGTTTCAAATACTTCAACTACATTCATCATAACAAGGGCCCAAACTGATGTAGAACAAAAATCAGATATTATAATTGCTTTAATCAATGAAAGATCAGCAGTCAGAACGCTATTTTCCACAGTCCAGATCTCAGAGGAACTCACCACCTCCCTGGAAGAGACACAGTTATGATTCCACTGCTTATTCACATACACGATGCTCATCGCTATCACACTCCTAGACCACACAACAGCAGCAGCAGAAGAGCTGGTTGTCTCCCAGCCACCCTCGCTGCAGAGGGGAATCCCTCTGGGATAATATTCTACTCAATCCACAAGTAGATAGAACACTGCCAGTGTTCACTGAGTGTTTTGTCAGAACTGGTGGAACTGCTGACCAATTGGACAAATTGGATTTTGCCAAAGCCTGCCTTACAGAACCACAAATTCTGTTTCCAGTCTTTAACAGCCAGTTTCTACACCCACGTTCATGATCTAGCTTGAGTTTGGGATATACGGTTCCGGCACAAACGAGTCTTTTAGACTCATTAGGTTCCATCTGGTCCTTCCAAAAAATATGAGAGCCTACATTTCCAGGATTACAATAGTCCCCTATAGCCAACAGAACCAGGAAAAATCTACATTCAGATCATGTCCTACCACAGGTAAGGTTTCATAAAACATCAGAACTGTTCATAGAGTAAAGGCACAGATATTGGTATCTGTATGTCGTCTTCGCTGACATCTTCAGAGACCCAAAAGAAATTTGAAAAACTGTTGACTAAAGGCAACAACACTTGGCCAGTTATGTCTAGCCACTGTGTATGTCTCTTGCATTCCTTTTAATTACTAAGAAAAAAAGTAAAGATTTCTTTATTTAACTTCAACATTTCTTAATTATGACCGAGAGAGTGTACTAGCAACCCCAAATGATTCCTTCCTTTTCCCAGATTGTATTCAAAGTCAATCCAGATGTCAACTCCATGTTCTGATGATGTCTCAGTCAGAAGGATCACATACAGAAGGATGCAAGACAACCTCCCTCTGTCAGCAGAAACATGTGATGGTGGAGCTAGAATCAATCCCCATTCTCCCAATTTACATAACAATAGAAAGAGAATACAGGGCATTTTAGCCACCAGATGTCACTCAGACTTTTGTTCAACCTGTCAAAGAAAATCAGCTAGGAGCAGGGAATCTTGTCCTCAGAGAGATAATTAATATCTCCTTTGAAGAAAACAACCTACCACTTACCTGAGAATATATGGTAAACTGACCATCAGTCAAAAAGTCATCAACTCACTTTCTAACAAATTACAGCCCAGCTTCTAACATTTTCTCTTGAAAAATGTATTACTGGCATTAGCTGGTATTACTAGGAGATGGCCAGCTGCTTCTAGTGGCAGAGGAAGGGCATGTGTTCTCACATTGCTGAATCCCTCTGGAGCATACAACCATTTAGATTACTGTAGGTAGAAATAGTTGGGAAATTTGCACACCTAGTTTCACACCTATTAAAGGCACTATATAACTGGAAAGGAATAATCTTTCTTTGAAATGTATCTTTAGTTCCACAAACTCTTATCTCTGAAAGCACGCTGCATACCACAAAGTAAAAGATAATATCATTCAACATTTTGTTTCACTGCTTCTCAAATATCTCAGTAAAATAGCCTTCTTCCTGTTAATCCTCTACAAAACCAAAACTTTGGTAAGGCCAGAATTGTTCCAGATGCTACAAGAAGAAGTAATAAAATGAAACAAGGTAACTAACCCTTTACAATAATCCACACAGTATGCATCTCAAACCACATACTTCTATGATAAACATGGTATTTCAAATGTTTATTAATTTATGAGTATGAAATCCATAAGCAAATTTCACAAGTTAAAATTTATCCAATTGCCACAATAACCTGTTCCTAAAAAAGTCTCCTGGATCATCTCCTCTTTTCTTGGGGAGCGGGACAGGGAGAAGCAGAATAGGAAAGTAAATTAAAAGAGGAAGAGTAAAAAACTTGAAAACTTGGCTTAGCCATAATGTAGCTTTTGGCCACTGCTTAGTATGGATATTTTCAGTCTCTGAACTTACCCTCTAATCTAACTGTGAAGAAAGTTAATTCAACAGTATGCAGTACCCACCAAATACGGCTGTAAATTTTTTGGGAAAGAGGGTGATGGGGAGGTTGAACATATGGATGCAGTTAAGGTAAAAACAGATGTTTGTTACTTTTCTTTGCAGCAACACTCAGAAACTAAGTCAAAATTGCTTTTTTTTTTCATGTTTATGTCTGAAAGAACTATAAAATTAAATATGAGGGAGGGTGGGTGGAGGGGGAATGCAGTGAGTGTCACAGAGAAAGAATGAAACGGTCTCCAGTTTTGAACTCAAATCCTGAAATGAAGGCCCATATAGTTAAAAGGCAAGACATACACCATTTAATTCTAAAGACCCTTAAAGAGACTAGCTCAGAGTCGCTTTCATCATGTCTGTGCAGACACAAAACACCAAAGTGCCTGAATAGTCTAATGGCACAGCATACCCATG